GGGCATTTTAATTCGTGTCAGAGGTTTTTGTAAATAGTGTATCTCAGTTATTTTAAGATGTCCTTAAAAAGATTATAAGGCTATGCTGTTTGGTTTTGGTTTTGGGGTTTGTTGTTTTTTTTTTGGCCCACTCTTATCCTGTTAAATGTTTATATTTATCATGAAGCAAGAATAATATCTGCAGTATCTGCTTTCAGTAAGTCATTGGAATTTGTACTATTTCTGAGGCCAGAAGTATGCATTTGATTCATGTGAATATTCTTTTCCCTTCAGAAGGCTTGCTGATTTTAGTTAGCACCCACAGACACATGGAGCTTCATCTTTGTGCCTTGAACATTTGTGCAGCATTTAGATAGGATTGGCTGTGCACAAACTTAGATGGAAAACAAGAAACGAGTAAACCAGAAGGATTCTTTTTCTGTTATAACTGTTGTTGGTGCTTTTTGTAAATATTACAGACAGAAAATATTCAGATGGGAAGGTGACTTTCAAGTCAGTGTCCCCTCTGCCTGTTTACGAGGTTTAAAAGGTCGGGGTGAAATCTTGGTGCTCTTCAAGTTACTGAGAACATTCCCACAGCTTCAGCAGGGCCAGGATTGTACGCCCCCCGCCTCTGAAAGAAATGCAAAATGTGAAATGCCTATGGATGTTCATTTACTGAGCTGCATTCACCGAATATGTGCTTGGTTTTAAGGCATAACTGCCTCTGTGAGTCTGGTTAATAAAAAATAAAAAAAAAAATTGAATTACTTTATTCAGTTTGTGTTCTCTGTTTTTCCTGCCCTGGTGTGAGTTTCCAGCAACATGGGAAGGCAAGGGTTGGTGCAGAGAGCGCCACATGGTAGGGGGTTTGCTGTGTGCTAGGGGACACGCCTGGCAGGTTGTTAGGGCAGGAGAGAGACCGTAGCCAGCCCAGGTGATGCTGCGTGGCTGGGCCATCCACAGTCGTGTACTGTGGTCCACGAGCCGCAGCTTGAGGACCATGGCACAGCACCATGCTGCAGACAAAGCGCTGCCTCTGCTGCCTCCGTCTCTGGAGGCTGCTCTTCACAAGAGTAATACAAATGTACCTGAAGTGCCTGTTTTCCCCAAACTCCTGGCACTGCTTAGTTGTGCTTGTGGATGTGCTCATATTTCTGAACAAGGTCATTTCAATCTCTGCTGGTTTTAGTGGCTAGTAAGGCTCTTCCCTGGATGCTATATGAAATGTCTGCTGCCGGCTTATTGGAAAAAAAAAAAAAAAAAAGCCTGCCTGAATACCCTGATGAGAGCTCACTTGTACCACGAAGGATGAGCAGCAGTGACAGCGTGTGCTAAGCCGTCTCCTCAATCAGGAGCGCGCTTTGCTCGGGGACAGCTCCGGCAGTGAAACCTCTCCGCCTCATCCTGCTGGTGTGGCTGCTCGCTCCCCTCCGGCTCTGGGACTTTTCCTGCTCTCAGACCTTCTGATGCGCAGGGAGAACCTCAGGTGAGATGGCTTCTGATGCAGGAGCAGCTAAAAGGTGCTTCGCAGACAGGGAGAGTAAAGAGCCCTTGGGTCCCTGCGCACAAATGTCTTTCGATCTCTTCAGCAGACAGGACAGGCTATACTGCAATACATTTATCTGAAATACTGTTCTTCCTTGAGAATACTTAGGATAATATTAATTTTTAATATTATTGTCTCCGTGTCTCTCTCTTCTCCAAATGGTTAATTGATTTCTAGTTTTCTGTTTCTTTGATTACTTGTAGGTTGCAAAATAGACAGGACTGAATAAGAAGACTGAGCCATATTTGTAGAAGACTTAATCTTTCAATCAGTTTCTTCTGAATTAAACCAAAACAGCAGTAGCAAATCCAGGAATCCTATTAAAGATGACCTACATAGTGGGAATAAAATTGGGCTTGTACCTTCTTTTGTTTCCTTATTTACTGTTGAGAAATCTGTGAATGTTTTCCTTAAAGTCCATTCATTTTTATTGCTGCTAAAAGCCTCATTCCTGCCTGGCCTGGGTGGCATGCTCTTGGATGGAGAACTAGGAGCAGGAGGGCATCTTGAGCCAAGAGGGCAGGGAAAGCTGAGCCAGTGCGATATGATGGGGATTTAGCCCTTGGCTGTAATTAAAAGGGTTCGTCAATAGAGCTTTAGCACAGAGTGGTTCCAGCAAAACCCTGCGAGGAGAGACGGAGATTATACCAGAAAAATAGCTCTTTTGTTGGTGTAGCTTCCATCAGTCCTCCAAATGGAGCAAGTTAAACTGCTGCTTCTCTAGGTTTGTTGGTCAGTGTAACTGTGTTGGTTAGGATGTTGGTTTTTTTTTTCCTTTTCACTCATGCTGAAATTATAATGTTATTCTGGAAAATGTTTCAGGAATAAATCTGAAAATTTATAAAGCAGATTGCTTTATAAATTTCTCAAAATCCATAAAACAGATTGCTGGATATTTGTGAGTGACTAAGGGATTTCAATGTTTAACTGACATCTCAGAGAAAAAATGCTTACTTAAAAATCTAAAACCTTGTACAGTCTTAAAATTTAATTAAAAAGTAAATGTTTAGCCTCTGAGATTACTCGTTTATAGTGGAAGAAAGGTATTGGCCTTTCCGGTATTTCTAGAAAATACTGCTGGAAAACAACCAGGGGGGAGGGGGAACCCTTATTGCAATAAATTTGGGCAGGAAGGAAAAGAAAGTTAAAAGCCCAGTTAAAGATTAAAGGCACTGCAGAACACCCAGTGCAGGAAAACGAGACGTGGCTCAAACGCGTTTGAATGTTTCTATAAATACAGGTATGTAGGAATGAAAACTGACTCATTGTTCAGATGAATTTACTGAACAGTTTTAAAAGTCTGCAAGAATAATAAATGATGTAGCCTTTTAGTCGTCTACAGAGAGAAACCCAGTTCATGAACATAATGATGGCTCCAGTGTCACTGCTAATTATTGCAGTAAAAGTAATATGAAATGTGCACAGGGCTTATCCTGAGAATGCAGTCGAATACTGTGCATATTGTTTCATGTGCAGAATTTAACAAAATGGTCTTACTGTGCATGTAAATGCATTCGTTTCCCTGGGAATCTTATCCAAAAATGATTTTCACCAGAGTCTGTCTCTTTTAAGAGTACGATGAGGCTTTACTTTGTTAAATTAAAATTGCCATGCCCTCTTGAGTGGCATTATTTGCAGAGAGCAATACTTTCCCCTGTGCAGAGAACAGAGGAGGGGGAGAGAAGGCTTTTCTTCCCCAGTGTTCATACCTCTAGAAAGGGGAGATTTCAGGCCGTTGATATGCACGTGCTGGTGAATCTGTTAGAGCTCAACCTAAGGAGCGTTTTGCAAACAGACGGAGAGGAAGAGAGGCAGGGCCAGGAGCAAGCACCCTTGTGAGCTCCTCATAGCCCTGAGCTACCTCCTGCGGCCTCCTCTTGTTCGATAAACATCTGAAAGGTAGATTAAAGCCGTCTCGGCTTTATTTCCTGCTCGCTCTCTTCCTCTGCAGCTCTGCATCCAGGGCTGCTCCCAGCCCCAGGCGTGCTCTTGCTGCTCATCTGATGAGTTTGTGTTCCAATTATTGGACTAGTTGATGCAGACAACTCTCTTGTTTTAGCTTCCTTGGATGTAGCTGTTCAGGAGTAATGTAATGAGACTCGAATTTTTGGGTTCGTAAGGCCAGAATAGGACTTGTTCTGAAGCTAGTGAGATAGCTTCAGTATCCACGTAAGCATGGTGGGACTGCACTTTAGACTTGGTTTGCTGTGGAGAGGATGTATGTCGTTAACAGAGAAAATGTTTTCTGAGCCTTACGAACTTTCCCACAAGCTTGTGTCAGGGGTGTTACTAGAACCAGCTCACTTTGAGTCCAGAAGTATGGATTATGGGTCATTATTGCGTATGGGTATGCATCAGTGTTCTTTGCAGAAAAACTCTCGTGACCATGTATAGCACAAGAACCAGGCTTAAGTATACTCAGAGGTTTGAGGGTGCTATTCACTTTCCAGGGACCCTGTTTAGTTTAAATATTTCATGAAAGCAACTGTGACTAAAGCTTTTATCAAGAGTAATGTGCTACGGTGGAGCTAAATTGAATGTTTCACATGTTTTACTTTTCTTTGCTGTGCATGCTAGTATCCAATGCAGAGAGTGACTAAAGCTCCTGGGTCAAAAGTGACATTTACAGAAATAACAACCTGAAATTAGGTATTTTTCTGTTGTGTTTTCATTGCGACATGAGTGTATCTGTAAAAATCTTTCCTTCAACCCAATGTTCTGTGCAGGAATCCACACTACTGTGTGCACAGCTGCCACTTTGCTCTTGCTAGTGAGAGTTAGCAGCAATGATCCCTTCCCTCCCTTCTTTGCCAAGAGCAGCTAGCCAAGCTTTTTCTTGCTATGTATAAATTTGTTAAATTCTGCTGTGAGAATCTCCTCCTCTGCCGGTTTCCCTCCTCCTTCCCCCTGCTCCCGCATACCACAGAGCCCTTCTCAAGTTTGCTGCTGGGGCAGGTCACCATCTCTGGGTGCAGAGGTTGCTCTCGGCTGCCAAAGTTGTGGATAACTTTTCCACAAGACTTGCACATTTCTGCAAAACTCACCCACCACGTGAATTATAGATGAAGCTTTCTAAAACTGCACAAATAGAAGAATTGGTCTGAAGGTTTCTGACATATGTATTTGTAAATATACGACAATAGAAATAGAACTTTTCTTCTCTGACAAATTAACAGGAGTCAGTGTTGCTGAAGATGATAGAGTTGCACTGGTTTACATAACTCGTGTTGGACCATAGTTTATGTATTAATTATACATTAAATATAGCTATATAGTCTCATATAAAATACTCTGTTCAGCTTGATTAAATGCTATTGGACTAATTACAGTACTTAAAAATTCTTATTACCTATTTTGTACTTTATATTCTCTCATTTTCTTTTTTTGTGAGGAGAGGAAAAGTCATATGGGGCAAACACATTTCACATGTATTCCTCATCTGTGCCTCCTTCTCTGCTTCTTCCGTATGCAGAAGTTTATAGAGTTTGAAGATGCACTGGAGCAGGAGAAGAAAGAACTACAAATCCAAGTGGAACACCTTGAATTTCAGACTCGACAGCTGGAGCTGAAGACCAAAAACTATGCAGATCAGAGTAAGCAAAGTTGTACGCCGGACATGATTATAGACTTTGCCCTCCACACACATATACTGCTACTTTGAAAATGTTTTTCATACTTTTTATTTTAATGTAATTTATGCAAAGCCTGAAATGTCTGGTTATCCCTTACTTTGGTATAAAATTCTGAGCCTTCTAAAGGATGGCATGTATCCACACTAATTTAGTGGAGGCTTCGTTGTAAGGGGCATGCTCAGTCTCTCCAGTTGCAAGATTTGGACCACTGGTGAAGCTTTGGAATCTGGTTTCCAGTTTCTCCTTGTCCCTGCATAGAACCTCCAGGTTTTTTTTTTCTTATATAAACTATCACATTTATTTACTTGTTTGTTTATTTATTTATTTTTACACATACTTCCTTAACATGTGCAGCTGGGTTTTGTTGGCTGAGGTTCCCCTCAGAATTCATTGGTGTTCCATCCAGTACTCCTGCTCCTCAAATAGCCAGAGGCGCCCATCCCAGAGGATGATTTAAACTGTTGTCGAACTAGGACAGTTACGGGGCACCAATCTACTGCTGAAGAGCTCTGCTTCTGTGGTCTTATTGCACTATTTGGTCTGCTCATTTTGGGAACAGCAGATACCCATGAATTGAGTTTGTAATGAAGATCAGATCCCACAATGTGCATTATTCTGTTTCAGTTTTTGTTCAGTAGGTATAAATTAATTTCTAACAAAATATGCTTTGAGACTTCTAGTTTCTTTTGAGAGCCTGATGTGTGTTAGCTAATGGTTGGAATCTTCTCTTGGTAGTTTCACGACTGGAGGAACGTGAATCAGAAATGAAGAAAGAGTATAATGCTCTACATCAGCGTCACACAGAGGTAGGATGTCATCTCATTATTTCTAAATAAATAAACTCTTAGCCTAAAGTAAAGTCATGTCAAAGAATTCAGCTTTACAATACTAGTGATGACTAGAGCTTCTGAACTTCGGGAGCATCAGAAATATCTGAATGGAGGGTGTAAAGAGGATGGAGCCAGACGCTTTTCAGTGGTGCCCAGTGACAAGACTGGAAGCAACTGGCACGAACTGGAATACAGAAGGCTCCCTCTGAACGTGAGTAAAAACTTCCTTACTGTGAGGATGATGAGCGTTGGCACAGGTTACCCAGAGATGTGGTGGAGTCTCCGTCCTTGGAGGTATTCAGAAGCCACCTGGTCATGGTCCTGGGCAACCTACTCTAGGTGGCCCTGTTTGAGCAGGGACGTTGGACCTGATGGACCCCAGGAGGTTCCTTCCAGCCTGAACTGGTGATTCTGTGAACAGTGCCCCACTACTTCATCTCCCACTGCCAATGAGCCTCTGGGAGACATCGTACATTATTTTTGGATATGCTCTTTCATGGCTCTGCTGTTATGAGATTAAGCTTAAGTAATTTCCAACGCTATTTGCTGTCAAATTTTCTGTCAGATTAGTCCATTCACTTACATCATCAGCTTAGAAGACAAGAGCAAAGACAAGGAGATGTGCAAAAAAAAAAAAAGAAAGGGAATTGGAAATGGATGCTGGAGAAGATCAAACAAATGCAGAAAATGAGTCTTTTCTTCTTCTCTGTTTGGCTTATGGATTTTTCTCTCCTCACAGATGATCCAGACCTATGTGGAACACATTGAGCGATCCAAGATGCAGCAAGTTGGGGGAAATAATCAAACTGAGGGCAGTCTACCTGGGAGAAGGTAGGGCCATAATCTCTCCACGTAACGTATGCCATCCGGGAACTTACAAACTGATTGCGTGTATTTGAGAGAGAGAAACCAGAAGTAGGATCTTTCCCTGTAGGCACAGACTGTAGTTGAAGCTTTTTTGTAATGGGTTCTGGGTGAGTTGTGGGTATGTTTTCTAAGCCTTGAAGAGGAGAAGCTTTATGTGTTCTGTTACAAAGCTTAGGCTTTGTCATGCTGCTATTGATGGGGGGCCTCTGGAAAAATACATTTGTATTCTCAGGTAGGATGTAAAAGGTTAATCTATAAAATGGATGGAGGTGTCAAATAAAATATTTGTGTGCATGTGTGTGTGTCTTTGTACGTGTGATAGCCAGCAAAACCGTAGCAGTTAAATGCATTAGCCGTTATAGGATTCCCCCCCCACCCCGTTTCTTCAAGGGAAGCTTTCTGTAAGTCAGTCACCCAATAGACCTACCTACGCGCAAGAAATTGATTTTCCTCCCTCTCTGCACACCCCCCGTTTCAGAGCACCAAAGCAGTAAGAACCAGCCGTTGCTTAAAGAAGGCAGTGGTGGGAAAGAATTCAGTATATAGAAGAACTAGTCATTTGTAATCTTAGACCAAATTTAAAGCACAAAAGTTGCAGCTACATTGATTTCAGTACAGATACATCTGGGTTTAACTGGTATGTGAAGGAACCAAATGCTTTCTCTCCGATACTGTATACCAGTAACATTGCCCGTGGGGTGAGAAGTAAAAGTGATGTTTCATGAATACTAGTTAGAGATGTAATAGATCACATAACGCATAATCTACTCAGATTAAGCATAATCTATTAAGTCACTCAACCATAAAAAAAGATGTTTTCTGTGGCAATTTTTATGCATGGCAGATTACTATTTGTGTTAATCATCACATGCTAATGAGATGATTAACACTATAGTGACACTGTCTAACCCAGCAAGTTTTAAACTAAAACAGTGTTTTCCAGGGGAACGTTATTGACCAAGTAATATGCTGCAGGAGATTAAATCTTTTTGTTGTCCTTGCCTGTCTTTTTTTGACTTTTTCATTTTTTCTGGCCTTGAGGAACGTTAAAAGGTTTTGCACATGTGCTGACCACAAGCCACGGGAGTTGTTGGTCTGAAAAATAGACAGAGACAGTACCAGCTGCCCAGGAATACTCAGAAGAGAGGGCCTGCTAGGTGTGTCCTCCCTTGTCTCTTACAAAATATGTCTGACTGATCTTGGTTAATATCTGTGAACTTCAGCTGGTTAATATCACTGAACTTCACTCAAAACCCAAACATTTGGGAAGCATTAGGGTAAGAAAAGGAGTGGGGATGGCACGTCAGACTATACACAAAGGGTAACATGGGCAAAGATACTGAGATGAAAATACTGGGAAAACAGACAAATGGAAAGCCATGAAGGTTTTTGAAGTATCATCTGGTAGGGATGATGAAATGCAAAAGAAGAGCATTGAGCAAAATTTGAAGATGAAGAAAGAGCAAAATCATTTGAAATTAAGAATAAAGAAATATATTAAGAATAAAGGAAGAATAAGTGAGGATATTTTAGTAACTTGTTTTTAAGTCTGTAACACTTAAATACCAGAATGTCAGTTGATTTTGGGGTAACGTAATAGAAAGGAAATTTCAGGTCTTGGCATAGGACATGTAAATACCCTGTCTGCTATGGCTCCCTGTTGCTGCATTGGACTGCTCTGGAAAAGACTGAATTCAAATTGCCAAGGTTTTGACCGTGTATTGTGAGAAAGAAAAAGGGACAGAAAAAAAGACCCAACCCCACCTTGTCAATGAAAGAGGCTTGAAGGATGGAAAGGGAGTAGTGAAAGACATGAATCTTCAGAAACTTTGGTAACTAGCCTGGGACTCCTGCCAGATTCCCTTCAGCCTTAGAGTCATACAGTGTCCTGAGCTGGAAGGGACCCACGAGGATCATTGAGTCCAACTCCCGACCCCACACAGGGCAACCTGAAGGTTAAACCATGTATCTAAGAGCATTGTCCAAACAATTCTTGAACACTGACAGGCTTGGAGGCATGACCACTTCCCTGGGGAGCCCGTTCGGTGCTTGGCCACCCTCTCAGTGAAGAATTTTTTCCAATACTGTCTATTTGCTATTTCATTACCTCCCATAATAATTAAAGATAACTTCTGTAGCCTTGGCTACAAGAATAACTTGCAGCTGGAAGATACTGGTATCTCAAAGAAAGATCCTTTATTTATTCTGAATCAGTTGATAAGACTTTTATACTCTCATTTGTAAGGCTACCAAAGCCTTACACAAGGGAAGGAAAGACACAGTTATATGTGAATCAAGGGGGACTATTTACCTTTCCTCTTCTGACAGTCAAACAGTCTTTTCAGAAAAGAATGTCTTGCAGTATTTCTTCTGGAGAGGAGTAACTAAAGGCTGTTGTAGTTGTCGAGTGGGCTGTATAGTGAGTTATCTCTGTGCTCTATTTTCTGCAAAACAGTAAATTAGCTTCGCAACAGAGAGTAGTCTAGGAGAATAAAAATAATTACATAATACAGTATTTGGGATCTGGCTAAAATTGGATTGTCTAAAATATAAAGATCTATTGGGAGGGGGGAATCAAAATATATATGGCAGCCTTCCTAGGCAAAAGAGACAGGCATGAGGGGTGTGGAAAGCAAGAGAAGACATGGTGTAAAAAGAACCAGTAGTTTGTAGGTGTTCTTCTGTTCAGAAAATCTCCCTTATTAGACTATCTTTCTTCCTTCTTCTCTTCCCCTCCCAGTCTGGAAGCCCACAGTGAGCTCCCAGAACATGGTCTGATCCTAGTGTTATGGCTGAAATGGGATAAGTGTGTTTCCCTTCCCACTTATCCTTCTGTAAATAAGAATATATCTGTGGAAGTACTTCCACAGGTATATATAAAAGTACCATACGCAAAAGCATGCTTAGGGCCTCTCTCTTTTTAAGGGTGGTTCATATGTGCACCTGCCAAATTTGGGTTAGACTGCATGGTAGAAATTGATTTTAATGAGATTTTCCTTCGCTGTCTTTCAAGTAAGTTAATATTAGTTGTGGTTTTATTGTTGTAATTCCGTGAAAGAGATGCACAGTGAGAAGTGTTACTGGTTAGATCTGCGAGACTGCCATTGTCTGGAATGAAGGGCAAAATTTTCATCAAGAATTACCTCTTTATGTTAGAGAAATTAGTCTTTTACCCTTTTAAGTGCGGCATATTGCTAGTCTCCTTGCAGAGAAAAAGAAAGAGAAACACTTTATGAAAGCCCCTGAAGGGGCTATGGTCTGAGTTTGTAGGAACCACCAGTGGGAAACGGGACTTTTTCCTTCATTTCAAGCTTTGCACTGTTTGTGTGCGTGCGTGTGTGTGTAGCTCCGTGTTTGTACATGCCTGTGCACAAGCACTTGGGTCAGACGTGTGTTTTTGTGTCACTGCACAGCGGGGTGGGGGTGAACACCAGCGTTTGTGTGTCTTGGTGCACTGATGTGCACTGGGGGGACCCGGGTATAATTTCTCATGGCCTGTTACACAAATTTGAGTGCATTTATTTATTTTCATTTGTGGATGTGCTTGGGTGTGTTAGACTGCATAGGGGTGCATATTTGCATAAGACCGTAAGTCCACCCAGTATGTTTGCCTGTCACCTGGGAGAAGTTTGTGCAAGAACTGTTGGGGGGGGGTGTATCTACTGCCGTCCAAGACAGGTAATGAGTACGGTGCACACTTCCACGTGGTGTGGATTACAGGTGCATGCGTACCCCATGTTTGTTGTAGGGCTGCACGTTTGCATGACCTTTGCTCTCTAATGGTTGTTTTTTTGTCTCGCTTTTTGTGCGATTGCCGCTCTGTTTTGGCTGTTATGTTTGTCACTGCAGTCATCGCCAGTCATGGAGGAAAAGGTAAATCCTATTGCTGCATCTTAACTTTGTTAATCCTAGTTTTGGAGGGTGCTGTTGAGTGGCAACAGTGTGATGCTGGGAATGTACTGTACTGGCCTGTTTGCCCTCTTTGTCCGCTGGCACCTGTCTTGGACTTGCTCATTTGGGTGAGGCAGAGGGAGCCACCAGGCTGCCGGGATAACATGTCAAGAAGAAGCTTATGTACTCAAACGCAGAAGACACAGAAGTTCGGTCCCAAAACAGGATCAGTCCTCTGTGATTGGACATTTACACGGCACATCCCAGAATGTTTTAAAAAGTCATCTTTTCTCCCTTATCTTACTATAGAGTACAAGGCCTGCATATTTTCTGAGCAGGGCGGAAAATGCATGTCACTGTTAGGAGCTCTCTGGAGGCACTTCTGACTTTGGGCTGGGCAGCAAGTTCTGTGCCCAGAGCCTGCAAAGAGAGCAGTTCTCATCTTGAAATGCTGGCAAACAAATCATAGTTCTGTTAGGTTTTATAAGCTTTAGGATGTTACGTAGAGCATCCTGATCCCAGGTTTTGGCTACTGCAGACCTTTATTGAGGAGTCTGCTGTTTACCTTGTAACTAACACGAGGTGGAACTAACCAAGTGTTAAGAGTCACTCTGTACTGGAAAGGATTGGGTGTATGAAGGTTACTCTAGCACTCAAAAGTTAGACCAGCCCTGAGGATACTCAAAAGTTCCTTGAAGACTGGTAGTCAACCCCAGGACTGCAAAGCTAAAGTTAGCTCTTCTGTAGTGTTTGCTCTTTCCCCTTCCCTCGGAGGTTCAGAAGAGGCTGGAAGGTGTTTCCAAAGAAACTCAGCAAGGAAATTTCCTAACAATCTATATTAAAATCCTTTTCTGAAGATCCTACAGCTTCTGAGGCTACGGAGACTTTGTACTTCTGTTCTCCGT